AGATCTCCATGGCACCCAGCTCACTCAACTCCTTGCCCCGCCCGCCGCCCCACACTGGCACACCGCACTGCCGCAGACATTTATTGACCGGAGTGAGGGAAGAAGAAGCATCGCGAATGACAGCTGTCATGACGCGTAACATCACATCCTGTCTTCGCCCTCATCGACGATATGGCCCCCCGGGAAGCAGCCAAAGAAGCCGAAACAGCCCTCACTGGCCGAACGACTGGAGGCGATGGAGAAACGTGCTGAGAAGGCGGAGAAGGAACTGAAGGTGCTTAAAAGGAAGGACAAAACAAAGGTGCGCACTGCCACGTCGTTCTTCATTCTAAGACGAGCTCACCGCCTGCAGAAGTCCCCAAAGCTTATCCCGGAGCCCAAGAATCCAAATCGAATGGCGATCTCGATGCTGCAGGTGCGGGAGGGAATGGATATGTCAGGGAAAGAGAATGACGAGCAGTGGAATCGGGTTACGGTGCGTGTTGTACACTACTGAAGGGCAGAGACAGGCTCATGCGGCTACCAGAAACTTGTTAGATATCTATGGTCGAAATATCTCCGAGTAGATGGGACTTGGGACTCGTACTCTAAAGATCACCGTGATGCAGCAATGCAGGCCGTAAGTAGTCGATACTCTGTCGCTGAATACTGCTCAAAAGGCCCAGATTGCGAAGGAGGTGCCTCTCTTCATGAAATTCGATGGCCTGTGGCCCATACGACACATAGCGCAGCAATTCCTGCAGAACCAAGACACATGCTTGCGTACAGCACTCCTAGACCAGAAATGTCACGAGGAAGGGAGCGAACGGCCCCGGAGGCGTGCTGGGCCCAAACGGGCCGGCCCATCCGCTGTCTTGCGCGCAACTTCAGAGCGTTGGCGATCGCTCTCGCTGCGTGTTGACCCTTGTCAACTCCTGGACCTCGCGCCTGTGCGTGGAAAACTGCCTCTTCTTGAGCGGCTAGAGCTGTCCCGTCCTGCAGTATCACTGCCAACGATAGACAATTCTTTGCGGACTGAAATTTCTTCGAAATCGCCCCCGCCTTGCGGAGTCTTACATTTGAAGACTTCCCTCCTCATGTTGCGTGGCACCAACTCACAGAAGTGCGCCTGAACATCACCTTTGGATTCTACGGCCATTACCATAAGGCTGTCTATAATGTGCCAGCAACGACGAGCAAGTCCAGTTGGCAGGGCGCATCCTCCGGCCTGCTCAACCTCCCGAATCTTACCGAGCTGAAGCTCCAGTCAACATGTCCCGCGCCCAGCTTCTGGGACTCAGCCGCTTTCGCCATGTTCACTTGTCGCTCGCCGAACATCACCGTTCTGCATCTACAGCAGACCTATATATCTTCTCCCGCGCTTCTCCAGGCGCTCCGCCAAGTGCCGTTATTAGAGGACTTTGCTGTCGAAGACCTGCACCAGAAGGAGTCGTACCATTTTGTGATAACCGACGAGGTCCTGCGCGAGCTGCTCGAGCCCAGTTTGGCGCGGAACCTTTGCCGCCTAGAAATTAGGGCACGGGCGATGGGCATTGTTGGCAAGGGAGAGTGGTGATCAGATCGACATAGTTGCTTGCGGGACAGAAGCTCACTGGCCTCGAGCACTTGCTTCAGAAAGAGCTCCCCCATACTCAGAAAGCAAGGATAGTAGATTTTGGGGCGGTCCAAGTGGCCGCAATCCTGTGCTTTGGTGGAGTTGCAGCTGCCAAGGGCCGTACTAGTGCTTGCTAGCGCTGGGGGCCCGCTTGATGCCGTAGCCAGCGCGTTGAGGCTGCGCAGACAATAATTAGTATGAAGTAGCATGTACCATATCAATGTAATCTAATTGCAGCCCAACTGATTGCCTTACAGCCAATTTGTATGCGGAAAACAATGTCATCGGCCGGATCACGGATGCAAGTGCGACATTTTCTGAAAATCTTCTGTGACAGAAAATTGGAAATCTTCTGACCCGGGAAAATTTCCAGAAGATTCTCAGAAGATTGATGGAAAATTCCAAATTTTCCGTGACAGAAAATCCTCGGAAAATCTTCAGAAGATCTTCAGAAAATTTCAAATTTTCTGTGTATTTTCTGGGGCGGAAAATACATCAATGCCCGTAGTGTTAATCACCTTCTTCTTTCGGGTCTATTCGCTTGTTCCCATTGGAGCGTATCGGGCTAAGGCTGCTTAGCATACGGGCTTTGCAGGGGGTTTCCTTGTGACGGTCGTATGATTGGTGGGCTGCTTGGTGGGCTCTTCTCGGTCTGGCAACTTGTTGGTTCTTCGCTCATTTTTGTCGCCTCGCTGTTGTTTTCGTCTAGATGGTTTGTTTTAAGTGGGGGAGGGTGTAAGCCTGGGAGTCTTACTTACATCATCCCATCACATAGTCACAGCCCTTAGTCACTCTCCTCTGTACCACATCGTCGTTTCTCGAATATAGCCGGATTCTGTTGTGTCCCGGTTCGTTCCTCAGTGTTTCTGGGACTTGACCACCCAGTTTCCAGTACGTGGACGACGGGAAAATATATGTTTCTTCAAACTCATTCGACACGAACAACCGGCTATTGCGATCGGCATACACAAAAGTGCTCGCGATCCTTAAGGACCTGGGACTAGACATAGACATCTCAAAGAGGGAACTGATGCATTACTCAAGAAGACGTGGAGACAACGCTCCAGCAATCAAACTACCGAACAGCGACGGAACGGAAAGTACAGTCACGGTCTTCACAACAGTAAAATGGCTGGGAGTATATCTCGACCGGAAACTCCTGTTTAATCACCATGTGAAGACACTAGCAGCAAGGGCGACAACGACGGTGAGTGGGTTAACCATGTTGTCGAACACTATCCGCGGCCTTTCGCAGAAACACCTCCGACACTTGTATACAGCGTGTGTTGTCCCAGTGATGACATACGCCAGCGCAGTATGGTGGAATGGGAAGAAGGCACACCAAAACCAGCTCAACCGGGTACAGAACCGCGCTCTACGTCTGATCTGTGCGGCTTTCAGGACGACACCAATAAACGCGTTGGAGATCGAAGCATCTATACCTCCCATCCGACTGTCACTGACGCACGCCAATAACAGAGCAGCGATACACTTCAACAAACTGAGCACATCGAACCCAGTGATTGAGAGGCTACCTGACGAATGGCGAAACGGAAACCAGCCTTACGTGCTACCGCCGCTACCAAGCAGGCCAAACAGCAATAGTGAGGTCAATAAGAAGAAGACAACACAGCTACAACAACTTGCGCGACACACCAGCCCACGCGAAGAGCGGATATCCCCGTTTCTCACAGCCCCATGGCGACGGACAGTGATGGATTTCGGCGGATGGCTGACAATAAGAGGCACGGAGGGACAGGATAAGGAGGCGGCAGCAAAGGAGCATATTAAGAGAGCTGAGTGGCTTTCACTATCAGACACCCACCTGTTGATCTACACAGATGGATCGCTGAGGGAAATACACAAGATGAGGCGAGTGGGAACTGGAGTCGTGATATTTCGAAGGGGAGAGGAGATATTCACACATTCAAGCAGACTTGGCGGACATGCAGAGGTTTATGATGGGGAGGTAACTGCCCTATTGTTTGCAGCGGGCAAGGCGACGGCGCTCTCGGAGCAGGACGCAACCATCAAGCACCTGCACTTTTTTGCTGACAACACATCAGCGATCAAGACAGTGTTTGACCCCAAACCACGACCAGGCCAGCTCCAGTCACACATTTTCCACCAAAGGATATGCAAGTTCCTTGACGACGACCCAGAACGAACAGTGGAGATATCGTGGTCCCCTGGACACTGCGACATCACAGGGAATGAGCGAGCAGACGAGCTGGCAAAACAAGGGACAGAGATGGCAACGACAAGTGGTGGAACCCGGGCAAACGCGCTCAGGAGGGCAAAGGAGAGGGTCCAGAAGGATTGGGTCAGGGAGTGGAAGTCAACAGGGAAGCGGGGACACTACGCAATAGCGAATCGATTCCCGCCGACAACGAAGCCCACGAAACAGTTCATGGCATTAGATGGGAAAAGAGAAGTGTTTGGAAGGGTAGTACAGTGCCGAACAGGGCACTACTTCTCAGGCGAGTACTATGCCCTCCGCGTACCATCCGGGAGCGTTGACTGCCCCTGTGGCGAGCACGAACAGACCCGTGAACACATCTTATGTGAATGCCCACGATACGAGCGACACCGCAACATCCTACGAAAAGCATCGAAAAGCCTGTCACTCCCACAACTACTCGGAACGCACACAGGCATAATGGCACTGGCCGAGTTCCTGGAGAAGAGCGGCACGTTCACCAAAACGGGACTCCCACGCGCCCCAACATCCCTACCCACCTTCGACAATGAGCCAGATCCGCCCGAAACGGACGACGAAGATGAACAAGAGTAGCACCAAGCGCTGAACAAGTCGGCCCAGCCCCCAGTGGGCACCTTATTTATTCCTCTCTATGTTATATACTCCATGCTCTACGACTCGACGCCAACAACCTCGCAGGACTGCACTCCCAGTCCAAACTGCGTCACACCCTCCCCGCCCTTCGCTACACCACAAAGCGCTCCGATCACAAACCCAGCGCACACCACCACCGAGCGGCCAGGCAGCTCCGGCGCCCCGGCCACCGTGTCTTAGTAGTTAGTGTACTTGTTGCGGTATAAAAATGCAGATACAAAAAAAAAAAAAAAAAAAAAAAAAAAAAAAAAGCCGAATCATATGACAATGTTTTGACCTGACAGGAATTACATAATCTCGTCTCTGATCCTCATGCCACGCGTACGGGCCGCCAACAATTCTTGAATCGAACTGCCATTCACCCACAACAACATCCGCTACGCTCACATGGCTCACCAGCTGTTTGCCCTAGCTTACCCTTTGTCGTATGAGCGGTGACCGGGGAGATTTCGGGATCAGACAGGTCCAACATCGCACAAATCCCGGATTTCGCGACACTGCTAAAAATGTGTATGCTCGCTTCATCCACGCTCGCGTTTACCCCCAGACATCATGCCTGTCTTTTTCTCTCTCGTTGCCTTAGCTGTTTTCCTTGTCCATGTACAAGCCCAGACCGTTACTGTCCAAGCCGGTACCACCTTCCAAACTATGGACGGATTTGGCTTTTCGGAAGCATTCGGCCACGCAAATGATTTATTCAAGCAGGCCGCCCTCTTTCTCGTTTGGTCTTTGATGCTAATGTTACGCCCAGCTACCCTGCTTCCGAACAAAAGCAGGTTCTTGATTTACTCTTCGACCAGAATGTAGGCGCTGGTATGACGATCATCCGGAATCGCATTGGATCGGGCGGGTCTGGAGATAGCATTCTGCCAAATAAGCCGTCGTCTCCGTCAGCAACTCCATCGTACGTCTGGGATGGTAGCGATGGACACCAAGTGTGGTTCTCTCAACAAGCTATGGACTACGGCGTCAAGACTATCTATGCAGATGCGTGGAGTGCGCCTGGCTTTATGAAGGTGGATTTTAAAGCTCTTGTCCCGTCATCTTGCCTAACATATTGTAGACCACGGGTACAGATGCTAATGGAGGAACGCTATGTGGTGTAACTGGGTCGACTTGTTCATCTGGTGACTGGAAGCAAGCATATGCCAACTTCCTCACGCAGTACATCAAGTACTACGCACAAGTTGGCGTGACTATAACACATGTCGGCTTTCTCAATGAGCCAGAATATACGTAGGCAGCTCGTTTATGTTTTGTCCAATATCCTTCTTAGACTAGCCTACAGGCCGAGTTACTCTTCGATGAACTCTAACGGTCAACAGGCTGCAGGTGCGAGTGTTGCGTTTCCTTTGAACACTCTTTAATGATGAGATCAGACTTCATCAAGGTCCTCTCACCCACCCTGAAAGCAGCTGGACTCTCTACAAAGATCACATGCTGCGATTCAGAAGGGTGGAATAATCAAGTCACGATGACCAATGCCATTAACTCTGCTGGAGCACTCAGCCTCCTTGGTACCGTCACTTCCCATTCGTATACATCGTCCCCTGGCTCCAGTCAAATCAACACGACCCTCCCCGTCTGGCAGACGGAGTATGCTGATCTCAGCAATCCAGTCAACCCCAATAACTGGTATAGCAGTGGAGCGTCGGGCGAAGGCTTGACATGGGCTAATCGCATCTTTGACGGAATTGTCAACTCCAGGCTATCTGCATATCTCTATTGGATCGGCGCAGAGCCAGGCACAACCAACAGCGCACTGATCTTGACTAGTGGAACCTCTGTGACAGTGTCCAAGCGACTGTGGGCATTTGCTCAGTGGTCGCGGTATGTTCGTCCCGGCGCTGTGCGTCTCGGCACCTCCATTGTTACTTCTGGCAGTCTCAAGTTCAGTGCATTCAAGAATCCCGATGGCCGTGTTAGCGTTCAGGTGATAAACAATGGGGGTAGTGCTTCTGCTGTGAGTGTAGCCGCGAATGGATTCACCATCGGTTCTGCAACCGCCTTCGTGTCGTCTCAAGGCAACGATCTCGGCTCTTTGTCGGTAAATTTAAGCGGAGGCTCGGTTTCTGGGAGCGTTCCTGCCCGCTCGATGGTTACTTTCCTTCTCAATACCTCTAGCACAGGAGGTGTAACGACGACCGTGACTACCAGCCGCGCCTCATCGACGACGTCAGCTAGTACTACCCCACCTCCGACAGGATGCGCGTCAGCCCAATGGGAACAGTAAGCCGTCATCTTATGCCTTCCATCCCTTGAAGAGTTAACGGACCCTAGATGTGGCGGAGTAAATTGGACTGGATGCACGAGCTGCGTGTCTGGGACGAAGTGCACATACTCCAATGACTGTAAGTCATCATTTTTGGGGTCACAAATGGTCTCTCTAACTTTCTTAGATTACTCTCAATGTCTTTAGATTGCTTCATAATCATACTAAAAGTGTCCTCGAGCTTTTCATATATTCATCTAAATGATCGAATGACAGCAGTTTTTAGCTTCATGTGGCCTTGTCTTTTTTTTTTTTTGAATCACATTGATCTACCGCGGACAAGTACGCTAGTGCTACTAGAACGCGCTGCTCGAAAGCAAGAACCGTTGACGGGTGTGCTATTGTGTGCATGATGTTGTGGTTGTCGCTCCTGTTGTAGGCAGCACTCGTAGCGCTGTTAGCGTGCATATAGATATGAGGAAATTGGAGGCTATAATTGGACGTGTCATCGGCGTATGTGGCCTTGTCCAGTTCGCAATCACAACGTCCAGAATCGACCCGATCCTCCTGGCCACTGGCAGTAACGCGCTAAGTTCCATGGCAGCAATGAAGCCTAGTGAGTATTTGGTTCACCGAATTATGCGAAGAATACAAATAAACAAATTCAACTAATATACCCGTCCATAAATGAGTGTCGTGAAAAAGTGAGGTGCAATATGAGATTCGAAAGCGATGATGTACTGATGAAATCACCCTGCAACGGCCATTTCAATGTTCTTTCCTTTGATATTAACCCATTCGATGGTTAGCGCCCCAACAATGGAAAGGCACGCCATAGCAGTGCCGGCATAGAATGCGGCGACGAGGGCCTAGTAAGTGCGGTTAGGGTACACATCCAAGTCACAGGCATGAAGACCAACATCATTGTAGGCAAGTAGAACCCCTGGCAGGTCTGCGACATCAACAGCGTTTTTCAAGCTCGTCGCTCCTGCGCTGAGAACGAGACTGGGATTTATACCTGGAACATGCGCCACGAGCCCATCGATGAGTTTGTTGGTGAACACGTTTTGTCCAATCGAAATGAACAAGGCACCCCCTAGATGAGTCAGCAGAGTTTTCCATGCAAATCAACATAAATTTACCCAGTGTGTTCGCAAACATTATGATACTTGTGCCTGTGGGAACATCTTTGAGATCGAGGACAGCTTGAGCGGCAAGCATGGGTTGTTGCATGCCCTGAGTTCCGGGTGAGTTTGACCCTCCGCCACGATTGTAAATCAGCATACCAGTCCGATACCGAGTCCACAAATAATTTCGTAGGGCATCCATTTGGTGTGGTTCGAATTCACTTTCAATGTCGAGATAAGGCCAGTGCCAATGGCGGTAAGAACAGCGGAGAGGATCATAAAAGGGGCATAATATCCAATCTGGACGAGATCTTGTGTAAGCAATGTGTTGTTGCAAGAGCCTGGGCAACTGACCGCCGTAATGAGCCCGCCAGCCAGAACCGAAGCGATGACAACGGCCAAAATAAGCGGGAGGTTGTCGATACCACTATGAACAGCGGAAACGCCGCGGATAGCTTGAAACCAGAGGGGGAGCTAGATATCCTTTTCATGCCCTTCCGCGGAGCACTCAAGAGGAAGGAACGCACATAAAAGTTGAGAATGAAGAACGCGCCGCCGATACAGAATATATAGATTGCGCCGCTCCAAATACTTCTTTGTTTCGCAATTCGAGGCGGAATCGTGGCGCTCTCTTGCTTCCAGATCTGAATGGCGATGAAGGCGCATATGAGGACCCCGAATACGACCAGGAGTGCGATAATAGTGCCCGAACCCCATGCATATTTCGAGCCACCCCATTGAAGAGCAAGAAGGATGCAAACAATCGCAGGAATGAAAAGAACAGTGCCGAGAGGATCGAAGAGTGCGAGGCGGCCCGTGAAGGATGACGGAATATTCTCGATGATGTCGTGCCTTTTGGGCATTTTGAAAAGGAAAATGACCACAGCCAAGGTCACGGCTCCAACAGGTAAGTTGATGTAGAAACACCTGCGAAGGAGATCAGTCTATAAGAAGACGCGACGACCAATAACCAGACCATCTCCAAGTGAGTTTGGAGTCCGTGAAAGCACCACCCATGAGAGGACCCGCAACACTACATGCAAAATAAACCCCAGTTTCGGATATCCAGCTGAAAATACACACCTGGCAATACCATACATGCCACCAACTAGTCCAGTATAGATCGGGCGTCTCTCAAGCGGTACTGTGTTGGCTAAGATGATCAGCGCGCCTGAAAAGATGCCTGCTGATCCCAGGCCGGCGATTGCTCGTCCAATGATGAGTGCACTGGAAATAAAAGGTTCCTTCAGATTGCTCCGCGCGAAATAAACACTAACCTTGAGTTTGGAGCTGCACCACAGATAGCAGACCCGATTTCGAAGATGGTAATGGCAGTAACGTATGTCCACTACGACGGTGAGACACTGTGAAGACTTGACTTGGTGGCAGTACCTTCACCGGCAGGAATGTGTAGAATTTTCCGAACAGCAATTGGGTCGCCGCAGTCGTCTATGTCGCGGTTAATGTGATATTATGAGTACAGGAAGGGAAGAACAGTTACCAGAAGATAGGATGAGCCATACCACCCTACATCGTCCAACGAGTGGAACTACGTTCCTGAGTATTCTGGACATGGCAGTGGAGTCAAAGAACATACTTGATTGGTGATTTGGGGAATGGCGACAGCGATGATTGTGTTGTCGAGAGCGACAAGAAATACCGAAAGACATAAGGCGAGCGTGAGCAATGCGAGTCTTATGCCGGTGGGATATTCGATCTCATCTCCCTCAGACTTTGTTGACTCTGTTACTTCCGTTACTTCTGGCTTGAGTTCTTTGTCGAGTGAAGGCTTTTCAGGCGACGTGAGGGTTTCTGCGCTGGTGGACATGAGGGGAAACAGAGAGCAGGAGTAGCTGGGCCAGAAGAAGCGGAAAACGGGGGGGAGGGAGTGAGGCATGTAGAGATGCAAGCGAGGATTTTATACTTCACATTGTCGCAAATCAAGATGTGGTTGTGGGTGCCCGGGCGTCATCAAGCTGACACGTAGGCGACCGGCTGCGTCGTCGTTGAGCACTTGAGCGGCTCAGACTCCGACTATCATAATTCTCTTCCAGTCTAAAGGGCACGCGGCCCGTGACGCGGGTATGCTTCACGCAAGCCAGGCGTTTTGGGCAAGTTTGATTCGAGCTTCTCGGCAGCTGAGTAATCACAAAGATGTCAAAAATTTGATGGACGGTGTTTAGGTTAGGAGTGTTGTGTCCTGCTCAACGAATAAATCGTGGTCTGTGTGAATACGAATATGGTACAACTATAGTACATCGCTGTCGATATATTGACAAAAAGAATGTCGAGGTCAGATTCTTCCGCCTCTCACTATTGCAGTCCTGTCATCCGTCTCAAGTCCCAAGTCCAATGGTATATCCAGATTTATATTGCTCGACATCGATAAGGGTGGTTTTTTGGCTGTCCTCCGGACCTGTAGTAGCGCACGAGTCGAGAATATACTATGCACGACGCGCAGGAACGAGTTCAACAAGCCGGGCATTCCGGGCTGCAGATCGGTCACTTAGACATGGTGCTTCAACAAAGTGACAGAACTCACCGGACCAGCGACTACGATGAGGATATTGATGATCGAGACAACTAGAGCACGATGTGGCGCTGGCAAAAACGATTAAGACAATGCCCACCTAATAAGAAGATAAAGTAAGTGATTCCGTCGCGGAATAATGTTCCAATAAGTGGACCACGCGAGTGTCGAAGTCGCCTCCAGCCAAACAACGCTGTATAGCCTACAAGCACTAATGTTTATCATGAGCCGTGACCCGGTCATGATAGAAAGAGGGCAACACTGACCAATGTCGTACAGCAAAGCAGAGGCGTATGGGATGGCTACTAGCACAAAATCACCATCTGCGAGAAAGCATCCGGGTGTGTTCAATGGCGGCTTCGTGTACACCGCAGTGGGCATGAACCGCGCAAGGGAGATAACTCCCACTGCCGTGCTAATCTATTGAGTCATTAGTATAGGTTTGGAAAAGGAGCGTAAAACTGACAATGAAAAGTATCGCAAAACCTAGCATGACCCCACGCTTCTGGCCACTCAAGGCATAGGTTCTTAGTGTTAGAATAGCTAAGAAATCAGCTTTACACATCTGGAACTTTGCCAAAATCTGCACCTTCGCCAACGGCGATCCCAGATATATTGAGCCCTGAAGGATGATCATAATCAGTCTCGGTACCTGACTAAACAAGAGACAGGTCATACAGGTGAATACAGAGTGGAGTTGGTTGCAACGCTACGATGAGTTAACACGATTTGCGCAGCAGACACTCATTCCACTTACCGTTAAGGAAATGTTGCGTGCAAGTGAATCTTTCACCAGGATTTCAGCCAGGACGTTGTAATCCCAGACGACTTACAATACATTATTGTCCCCATGTCAAAAAACGGCGAGTAGCGCGAAACGAATAGAAGAAGCGTTGCAGAGCCCCAGGTATGCCCCCACATATGATTGACCTGTTATAGGAGGACATTTCACAGACTCGACCGCCATTATGAGGCCTAACTCACCTCCAGATCAAACGTTAAGAGGTAGTCGAGCACCTATGCATCAGAGAAGTTAGGATGTCTTCATATATATGAGTTGACCAACCAGAACGACCAGAGTGCTGACTGGAATTAAGGTCAGTGTTGACTGTACAAAAAGCCTGGTGGAGTTGTACCGTTAGCATACTTTAGAGAGGTTATGGGTCAAACGTGAAGAATAGATACGAGTAGGAACGCACCTTCACCGTTGTGAGCCGTGCTGCGAGGACATCCGCCGGCAGCGCCTGGACGGCGGCGGCAGACATGGACTCCAACTTCAAGGTTTGAATGTTGTGGTTAACGGAAGGGTCAAGAATGCTTGATGTTTTGCACCTGTCATGATCGGATTTGCGTTTTAAATTTCGTGGTCGTACTTAGTCGTCAATGTCCTAATCGAGTTACTCAGGCCGAGACTCGCCCTTTTATTGCAAGCCATGAAGTTCGCATAACAAGCTTCCAAGTAGGCTCAATTAGACCTGCAGCAAAGTGGGATACTTCCTCAAACTTTCGCGATCCGCGTTTGATGCGATCGGAAACGGCACTAACTCAGGGCAAAAATAGTGCAAACATTGGAACAAAGTGCAAAAATAAGCTTCAGCCTCAGCCTTGACGACTTGCCTTTGTTTATCTTGTGATGCGTTGCTGGTGCAGGACAGTATGATCAGTGAGATGAGAACGAAGACATCGGTATGAGAAAATATGAAAGCGAGCAATGCGATGATGGAACAGTCGGAAAGTAGAAGAAATCGAATCCATGACAACAACACACACTACCACCCACCACCATCCCAACTTGCACGCTTGCGCTTGCCCTTCGGCAGTCCGGCTGAAGTATCCGGCTTAGCCGTTTCCGGGCCAACATCGGCGGCAGCAGAAACCACCAGATCAATGGGCCGGACGACGGCGCTCTGCCCACGCTGATGTCCATTCCTCGATCCTTTGGAAGTCTTCGGAGTCGATGGCGTAGTTCCGCCACCAGATTTAGCAAGTGCAAGTGCCAGCTTGGTTTTGCCAGTCATGCCGCCGCCGCTCATGCTTCTTATCAACGGCCGCATAGCGCCAGCCGTTGGCACGGATGGTTGTCGAAGAGGAATAGGTGATACTGGTGTAATCTTTGGTGATGTCGGGTTCGAACTGTGAGCTCCGTTCAACCCTGGCCATATTCCAAACCGATTGACGGCGGCTGATGTTGTGTGTGGGCCAGAAGACGACCTCGCTAGATCAAGTGCCTCCCCGCCTCTCCGGGTTGGAGCTGTTTCTCCGGGGATTTCTGATGTAGCACCACCGCCATAGTAATGGAGGTCCAGGAATGGGAGGTAGATCGTATCTCCATGAGAAGTTGGTGGACTTGGTGAATTGAGCTGGGCAGGTGTTGGGCTACTGGCGGCATTGACAGCAGCAGCAAGCCTGCCTTGCTGTCCAACACCCAACGCAAATACAGGGTCAAGTGCAAACGCAGTCGGCGGCGACATACTTCCCGGTATGGTCATCGCAGTGAGCGATGGTGTAGTCGGGGCACTCAATAAGGTCTGTGCAGCGACACAATCTATCTCAGCTTCTGCAGGGGGTGGAACAGAGACTGAGCGAGCTCGAGTCTGAATCTGCTGCGAGGAAGATGCAAGCAAAGGCGGTCCATGATGGTAATGATGGTGATGATGGTGATGGTGGTGGACATGAACTGTCTGGACAGTGGCTTGTATTGGTAGGGGCGCTCGAAGACCTGCATTGCGGGAGGACAGTGCTAAAACGGTGCTAGATGGGGTAGTCGTTGGCCGCAAAAGCGGTGTTCCAGGAGTCTCCAGTTCCAATTCAAGCATGCTATCGCTTTCCCTGATTGTCACCGAAGCTGCAGCTTCCTCTGTTTGTGTACTTGCGGCGAGACTGGCCGGTTTGTCGTCTTGAACATCCGGCTCGTGCTCTGCCGGTATATCTACCAAGTCGTCGAGCGTGAGCACCTTTTCTGCTCGTGTCGATCTCCCATTCGCATTCTCGCCAGTCTCGTCTTCTTCATCACTGTGCCCTTCCTTTCCACCTCTGACCACCTCTGCGATTCCTGTCAACTCACCCGGTCTTCTCCCAAAGCTACCAACACCAACACCCCAACCGCCCCACATACCGAGGGGTTGATGTGTTCTGGCACCAAAGATCAAATCTCCTGCCGTATTCGAATGATGAGTGAAGCCTCTGAAGCCACCGCTGGAACCCGCCCATCCACCAGGCTCTGATTCAGCATCATCCAAAAGACCGATATCGATGTCCGTGCCAGCTTCCGAGTACGAATATGGCGTATCGAACGAAGAGAGAGACAAGCCTGCTTCTGAAGGTGCCGCATCGAATTCGAAATCCCTGTCTAGATCGAACGACGAATGGAAAGACAGAGCGGGTGATGAAAATGCTGCAGCCGTGCTCAAATTAGGATTCTGGGACGAAAATGATAGCGAATGTGAGCCTGTGGGATGATGTTGATGCTGGTGATGATGCTGGTGCAAGTCAACTCTTGCATTAAGGTCATTCGTACCGGGAAGATGGCCATACAATGCTGGTTGTTCGAGATCGTATCTTTCCATGACGCCATGCGTGAGTTCGAAAAAGTCTCTCGCGTTGGCATTGGTGTTTTCGAGCGGGAATGAAGCACTGCTACTCAGCGGAGGAGAATGGATCGCTCGGCTGGTCGAATTATTATGCAGGTTGGCTGAAGAAGAATCGAGACGAGGGTTGGCGGAAAACCAATCTTGTGGCCCCCACGCGCTGCGCCCAATGGTTTGACCAGTTGAGCTATTCAGCGTAAGACCCAGCGAAGCTAGTTCCTCTTGTCGGCGATGCAGAAAGTGAGCTTGTTGAAGTTTAGTTGGACTCGGGGGTGGCATAGTTTGTGTCAGGTCTTGCGAAGGGGACACAGAAGTTACAGGAACAGTATCGGCAACAGCTCCTTCAACATCAAGCATAGGCTCGTCACCGTCTACATCGGTTGGGGGGGCAACAACCAGGTGTTGCATGCCTGGTACGAGGCCCATAGCAGTTTCCTCTCCTGCCTGTTGTTGAATGCTCGAATGAGAGCTGGGATTCGCAAATTTGAATGTGAAATCCGAAGCAGCAGAACCGAAGCTAAAGGCTCCCAGGTCAGATTTAGCAACATCCGACGTAGCTTCAGCCTCGTCGTCTGAACAAGGCATAGACATGGTCTTGAAACCCTGACTTGTGTGTGCTCTTCTTCGACGCCGGATAGGACCCAAAGCTGGATCAACACCAGCGGTGGTGTTCGACAATCCTTCATCAGTTTTGGACCGCCCGACTCGCGCCCGTCCTCTCGGCTGTTCGTCTTCCCCCAACTCTTCTTTGACCACAGAACTGAGATCTTTCGTTTTCTTGACGACTCTCGGACGCGCTTTGTACCCTGCCCTCTCGTATTCTTCTGGCCATGCATTCCGAAATCTATCTCGCAGGTCCATACTCCTTCTGCCCGTCGCCCCAAACACAGGTGCTTCCTTGGCTATCGTCGCCCAAGCCGCACCATGCCTACGGAATCCCGCTAACAAAGCTGCATCTTCTTCTTGCGTGAATGGTCGTCGTTTGGGATGGGCTGAGGGGGGAGTAGGAAACAAAGGTGTTCCATCTGCGTTGGTCGAGCGGTTGAGTGTTGTTGGGGTGCCAGTGTGGGATGAGGATAATGAGCCAAGAGACGAGGGAAGGTGGGTTCGCGCATTGGGATAATGGGTGCGGTAGGCTTCGGGAAAATATGTCCGAAATCTTGGTAATATTAGCCACGATCAGGGTTAAAGCAACCCGCGCACCTGTCCTTCAAATCTACCGGCGAGCGGTTGTCGAAAGACAGATTTGGATCAGAGAGAATAGCCTTCCAGTTTCCTACGCCATGCTATTCCCCAACTGTGAATTAATATTCGAGACGAGAGCAAAGAACATACAATTTGACATCCCTCCACGAGCATCTGGGTTTCCTCTGGCGACCACTTCCTGCGTTGTCGCTTCTCTTTCTCCTGCGGCTTACTTTCCCCTTCGTTATCTTCCTCGTCGTCTGGCGTAGATTCAATTTTCCGCATTTTTCCCTTGCGTGCGTAAGGGATAGTTGTGTCATCTCGGAAATTCCAAGCCGGAACGACGCGTGGCGAAGATGGAAGCGCTAGTGAGGTCCGCCGTGGTTTAGCGCCAGGTGGCTGTTGGTCGGGGGTGGCCATAGAAGAGGATGGGGATGAGACCACTGGAGGTTGGTGTGGAACCTTGAAAGCAAAGTTGGCAGCAGAACTTGTGGCTGCCATGGGTTATTTCTCGGGCTTGTGAGAGTAAAGAATGTTGATGAAAGATGAACCCTGCTCCAGAGACAAGTGAACGAGTGGGTTTCTGAGTGAAGAGCAGTCAACAGCTACGGACACGAGGTGGCGGCGGGGAACGTGCCTCGAAGAGAGGTAGCAAGCGTCCCTTGCTTTCCGTTAACTGCTGGTCGGAAGCCACCTTGACCAATACAGTGTGTAAAGGGAAGAATTCTGGACAAGGGGCGCAATGTGGAATAGCTTCCGACTGCGGTCGCACGTGGAATGACCAAGTTTGGAATGGTTTCGTGGAAATCATCCCATTTTGCATTTTGCCTCAAAAAAAATCGGTCCCCAGGTCTTTACTTTGGCACGCTCTTCAAATGTGTTCAACGTGTGTTGATATTATTTACTTCCCCAATGACTGCAGTGACTAACTTGGCCTGATCTGAGGCTTAAAATCCCGTAGTGCGCTGCGTGCCATAATCCCTCCTGGATGCTTCCAATCATCGAGGCATGCAAAGCGCTTTCTCGTCGCAGTGGAGATTTGCGATTGAAAGGCCAAATCCGGAAGCCTGTTGTTTCGCTCAATTCTCTAGCTGGCTTTGTCAATAATGTCCGTGGTGATCCTTGCTTCAGATATCTTCGAGTACTTCCCTTCGTGCATAGCTGGTAACAAGAAATTTTTGATCGTTGGAAAGCCTCACCATATAATGGAATCCTTCTGTCCGTCCGAACGATACAGTGTTTGACTGACGTTGTCAGTGTTTGAAGAAACCGTGACCATACAGCGGAGGCTGTTGGGAGGTGACTGGCCTGGAGAGGCGCATAGGATTTGAGAAGAATCGGTTGCATAGATTGGATGGAAGGACTTTGATGACTCGTTTTTGAAGATTCAGAGGCTTGCATTTACGCTCTTTTTTCGTCAGATATCGACAAGACACATCCAATATCTTTCAGCTGCACCATTTTCCGAGTGCAAGTCTGGGACTGTTCACATTGACAGACAAGTGCCGAGTTTTCGAGTGTAACTTGAAGGCTGACGAATAGCAGAATAGAAGAGTTGCCGTTCGCCTATGCGCTCGAAGTCAGCTGGAGAGAGAGAGAGAGATCAAGCCCATTTCAGATATCTTCGCTGATATGCTGCTTGCCGGAAACTTGATCCGTGTCTTCTGGTTTTGTTTTGCTGTGTTATTTCTTGCGAATGGACAAATATTAGTGTGTAGCTACTGTAAACATCCAGTTGAGATATGTAAGTATGCTGGGTGTTGCCAGTCGGGCGAAGGTGTGCCCCGTCGCGTTTTGAATCTTGACTTGATGGACGAACGAGTGACGGTTGGGAAGGAGGAATTGAATAGAACACTTCTGCTTGATCAAGAAAAGCCATTTTCACACCTTGCAATTGTTCACCACCTTGGATGCCTCTCTCTCAGCAACAGTAGCCAGAGCTTCCGCTCGCTCTATATATGCACTGCCTACCGCCTCGCCCTCTCTCCTCCACTAGTACTTGAACCCTCACTTAACAACCCGACGATGGCTCGTCAAACTACGGCCGACCCCAGCAGTAGTCATCCAAAGCCCAAGAAGCTGAAAAGTGTGCAGTTTTCTGACGAGAACTTGCTATACTCCCCTGTTGCATGGTCTCCCCAACCTGAAGCGGACCTCTCTTCACTCCCACCATCGCCGATGCCGAGCCATCCCACTTTCCCCCCAACGGCTGTGTTTTTTACCTCAGACTCCGAGTCTGAGCCGGAGCGCGTGCCAGCAGCTCCCTCTTACAATTTTTCTACACAAGTCGGCCCACCCATACCCTGGAAACCCCCATTGGTCTACAGCCCATGGGGCGGGTCGCTTGCGGCCGAACTGCCAACCTCAAACGTTGGTTTGACTCCCGCGCCGTCAACGCCATACCTACCGGTCGCCAACACTAACCAGACATGGATAAATCAAGCCTATGCTTGGCCACCGCCATCTCCATCTCCTCCCCCGCTCTATACGCCTTGGACAACCCAGCCTCAATCTGGCCAACCATACCCAACACCGCCTATTCACCTCCACGTTCTGCTCGCATTCACGCCTTTCGCTAATGTTCCCCCCATCGCCTTCGACGTCTCGCTACCGCCACACACCCAGCTCCAACAAAACCTTACTCCCGCATACCTCGAGCCTGCAACCCATCCTCCGTTGTCGTGTCTGGTTCTGCACTGCCGTCGGCTTGCATTGGCATTCCCATATCCCATCTCAGGCGACGACTGGACCATCCCCGTTGTCCCGCTCACGCAGCCAACTACAGGCATCGTCTGTGTCCTTGACGTTTTGCGCGCCATCTACGTGTCATTGCGAACTTCGGTTCTCAGAGCAGAGTACGAGACATTCCGAGCAACAACAATCGGTGATAGCGTAAAGCCAACTTCTGCGACGATGACGACCCGCACAGAGGTCGACTCGGCTTATTTTGCTCGTTGCAAATTTATCTCAGATCCGCATCTTCGGAGGGCGGAAGAACTGAAAGGCGTCAAGCGCGTCGACGTGTTGTGCGGGAAAACCCGTTTCTTAGGGCTGTCAGGGCCTCTTGAAGCGGGACCGGGTGTATGGGAGCTCAATCTTGCAGAATGACACCATATGAAAGTATCGTATTCCCAAAACGAAGACAAGAGAGAAAAAACGAAGAAGTTAATCGTAAGACATATTGTACAACTAATCCCTCTTTTCCACGTGCTGCTTCCCTGGAAACTGTTATTTTTATCGTGTATGTACCCTACCGCTTCCCACTATTGTTTTTTTTTGTCCACTAGATTTCCCATGGGGTTGGAGGCGAACGGGTGTAACTTAGAGTAGAATAAATGTGAATACTTGGGAGATTTTGATAAGTTCGACGACTTGGTTTTGTATGGTGAGAATCTCAAATGCGTCGCGGTAACGTGATCGTGTCGAGTCTTGAACAGGTTATTTCCGGTGCGGAAAATCAACGGAGATCGTCGGAGGATGTGCCTTGCTGCTGGTCCTTGCACAGCAGAAGCTCAGGCGAATTAAAGTGCTGGCTTCCTTAACGCGAGCTGGACTTGACCCGGAGTTCGACTTGCTTAAACTCAAGCTTCATGTAAGTTTACCTGGACACTGATCTCCTGTATGATGTTTGTGTAACTGTTCTTCGGAAATTGTTACTATCAGTGATGCCCTCTCTTCGTTGCGGCCCGTTCAATTTTCGTTCTCACCCACCAAGTCTAAACATGGTCGGTCGAACTTCGCCAGAACTGGCATAGGCGGTCCGCATCCCATTCACCGGTGACCTTGAACGTGACATTGTTGGCGGGGCAAACTGGCGCGTAGATTCCGGTTGACCATTGCATGCGTCTTGGTAGGAGCTGTATAAGAAGGGCGATTCGTTGAACGCATGTCTACAACAAGTCATGCGCTCCTCGATTGTCTTTCTGCTCGGTGCCGCTTGGGCGAGCGCCCAGACCACCTCGACGCCATATGGACAGGCAAGTTGGTTTGGCTCAGACAGATTGTTTCTGACAAAGCGTTCGATAGTGTGGGGGTTCAGGATACACTGGACCGACTGTTTGTCCATCAGGCTGGGTTTGCACCTACTCGAATGACTTTTACTCGCAATGTCTGGAAGGTACTGGCTCGGGGACGACCACCACCCCGGGCACCTACTATCTGTCAAACGTAAGACCCGTTAGGTACTATATTGTGTATGGATATAATCTACCTAAATGGTCCGCCTCAACTCGCCACCAACGGTCCGATGTCCTGTCACGGCGTTAGCGGCCTTCGGAAGCTGTCAAACACCCTCAACCTCCCGCGGCGCCGCCATGGTGATCAGCAGTGGCGCTCCTTCAAAGCGCCGCACGTCCAACCGGCACGACAGACCGAGCACTTCTGGTGCCGGGAAGTATCATTTGACTCCCCTCAAGGCGCGGGATGGACGCATGAAGCGCGTCATTCAGCCTACCAAAAGTCAGGCTGTGCGTCGGGCTGCTCTCCGATCACAGCTTGCGCTCCTTCTTCAAGGCGACAGTATCTCGGATGGTCCACAGACACTCGGCAGCACCAGCGAGGAGCCTGGAGGCGACCAATGGGTGGATGAGATGCCCACCGATAGCCTCCCGGTCCCGTATTTTGAACCGGTGCAGGTGCCTCTTCCCCCGCGCCGAGCTGCGGTCTCTCGCTTCAACCTTGCTGATGCCTGGGGGAATCTCCTCCCTGCTCTGGAGGGCCCATGGTCCCAGTTCAAGCAGGCTACTTATGCCTCCCCACCCACTCACATTGGGCCCTCGCTCCACCATGAATGCCAGCATGCATGCGACACTTATATCAACAAATCAGTTGACTGTCTCTACCCCACGCGTATGCTTTCGTTCAATCATAGCTAGATTTTAGCTGATCCGGCCACAGATTTACAAAGGGTCTTCATCTCAACCTGCTCCTGCAAGCCACTAGCTGTCCTCTTGGTCGAAAACGGAGTCTTCCCATCATCCCCCCAAAGGCCACGAATCGCCGTATCCATCGATCTCTTAGAGCTGTACAGGGCGTTGTTTGAACGCTCCTCTGCGACGCGATTACGGCGCTGGCGAATGCACTTCAAACTGTGTATGAGCGGCGGGGCTTCAATATATCATCAACACAGGTGGGTTCAATTAGTTCAGCCTTCTTCACTCAACGCTTAATCATCTACGTAGCGGACCGGCGTCAAAGCGTCAGATCCATTTCGGCGAAGCCTCACGCAGGCTGTCCTTTGGTCCAGTAATCTGCGCGACCGTATAGCGCTTAGAGTCAGTGCAGCTCTTGCTGCAGCTGACAGGTCTCTGTCATCCACTGCTCCCTCCAGTGGCGCCGCTACCTCCCCTTCGAATGCCTCCGCCGCCGCCTCAAATGCCCCCAATGCCCCCTTCGTTCCTTCTGTATCCCCTTCGGACGCCTCCACCTCCGCCTCCACTGCTCCTACGGACGCCGCTCCTGTCCCTTCGAATGCCTCCGCCACCGCCTCCAATGACGCCTCCGGTCATGTCCTCCCTGCCTCTGGCACCGCCCATCACGCAGATCGATTGCTCCACGACCGCTGTCCACTGTGTTTTGGTGGGGTTGACTGGGGAAAACCACTATCCAGGTGCATACTCCAATGCTGTCTTGAGTTTCTGTGCTGATATATTCCAGTGGTGGTGATGTCCAACTGGGAGGAGATGCATGCTTTAGCTACCGTCACCTTCGTTCCGCGGGGGACGGCCCAATTGGTTATAAGCCCCAATACTTTGTCTCGAAGGCAAAGGTTGAGCAGGTCCGACGGCGTGTAGACGAAGCTAAGCGAAGAAGGCCAACGCAGACCCTCGATGACAGCTGTGCAGAAAATTGGACAGCTGCCAACGAGAAGAAGAAGTTGGTTGATCCCAAGCGATATGATGCCAGCGGCATCTTTGCTTTGATATGTCGCCATGGTCAAACACTTTTCTGCTGCAACATCGACACCCCAGGTGAACAGCACTACTACATCATTGCCCTCCTTGAGGAGGTGATCCAACTTTTGCCTCCCGATGCCACTATCTCCCAAGCATATGATGTAGGCTGTGTTATTGACCGTAGCCAGTATCTTGTAGGTTTTTTAATCTGTTTTTCTTTCTGTTGATAATGTTCTATTTAGTTTGATGTCCTGGGGACAGGTGTTCGTGAACGAATTAAGTTTGTTCTGAATGCCATGCATGCCTATGGCCACGAGTGGCGATGCCAACTCCAGTATAATCCACGGATGGTACTAGGAATGGGCTTGACTGACCATGAAGCTGTTGAAAGACTATGGTCACGTATCCGGAGGCTGATTCCAATTACCCGTGGACAATGGGCAAGTTCTTATTGGTATTGCAATCTTACCCTAATTCAAATTTAGAACTCACGTCGCATCTGGACCATTGACCAGTATATTGCCTTTGTCAACACAGACGGTTTCTACCGCTTGGGTGACTGGGTACTTCGGCAACAATCCAAAAATGTTCGGCGTCGCTATTATGATGCTGGGAACCTGCTACGCAGATGTGGTATCCCTATTTCTGATCTGCGGGATGAATGGGCAGCTCAGAAAGCAGCCCAAACTTCTGGTCGTAGCCGTAAGTAGTCAGATGTAGCTGTATCTGAGCTAACCCAGTTTAGATGCTCCAAAGCGCCTCCGCCGTGATCTTGATAAGGTGGTTGCCTTACAAGCTCAAATTGATGCCATCGAAAAATCTCTGGGAGATGTTCGGGAGTCAATCTCCAATCAGACGGCTTCTAATGACTCCTTTCGCCTCCTTCGTGAACTGCAGGCTACACATGCTGACCTAGAGAGGCAGGCAGAGGCCTTATACTCGTCTCTGAACATCCATCAGATCTATCCTGCTCTGGAAGGGCTACCTCCAGAGCTTGCCCGACTTTCTTGTTACTATGCGTGATCTGAAGATCAATATTCGGCGAAGGGCAATAGGCTCGTTTCAAGAGTGGGAAACTCTTGATCAGGCAGTCTCAGGCCGACGGGAACCATTGGGTAGATGCAAAAATATATTCTTCTACTTGTTATCTGACCGTTATTAGGAACCAAGTTATATCAAGCAACCCGTTCAACTATTACGAAACGTCAACCTGCTCTACTCAAAGCACTTAGGAAGTTTAATGGCTATTGCTCTGAGTTCGAGATTCTCCGACCTCCAGACTGTCAGATCGCTGTTCCACGCCCATTGCCAACCACTCTTGCAGCACTCCGAGAAGACTCCTCATTACATGAAGACATCTGGACAACTCCAACTGAGGGACGACCTCCACGATGGCTTGAGGATGAAGATGTTCGGCAAGGCATTCGCAACCTTCATATTGTTGATCGGTGTGGAGAGGAGGAGTTGAGACTTAAATCAGAAATTGCTAATATGCAGCTGTGGCTTGAGAGAGAGTTGAATGTTGCAACCTATGCAGTTCAAGGGAATGAAGGTATTGCCTTTTGGTTATGCTTCACCTTCTCACGCCTACTAGACCCTACTCTAGACCTCCCCCTTCAAGAAAGGGTAGAGTATATATCGAGCCTTCAATGTGCTTGGGCAAGGGGTATTGATAGTGGGGCATCCACTATGATTGCCTCTGTTAACTCAGCAGTGCCTTTGCCTGCAGGTGGCTTCCAGAGGCACCAGCTGGAGGAGTCAGAAGAGCTGCTTGATTCAGAAGGTGCTTTGTTTGAAGGAGCCAATGCTGATGAACAGGACCTGTCAATTATTGAACCTGATGAACCTGCTGAATCAGTTGACATCTTTCAGGAGGTCTTAGATGGCAATGATGGGGAAAGTAATACAGAGGTTCTTCAACTAGAAGACTTTGTGATTCAAATGGAATCCTCTGTGGTATGCATTTTCTTCTGTTAGGTTGGCCTTCATCTGACCTCATCCAACCTTCTTTAGCCTCCAATGCAGGTTGACACCACCTTTGTTCATGCCATTGAACAGTATCTTTCCTCTCAAGAAGACTCCCCTTCCCTCCATGAAACACGGGTTATCATTGATATCCATGGCCGAAAGCAGCTCATAGATGCCGAAGATCTCTCTCGCCTACAAGGGCCTACACGGTGGTTGAACAATTTCTGTATCAACGGGGTTGCAACAGCAATCATGAAATCCCTTCTCTCCGAGGAGGATATCGCCCGAAGTGCATTGCTTGACACCTTGGACCTCCATCGAGTCCAATATGGGTCGGATGAAGCCATCCTTTGGCACCATTTGGCTCCAACCGAATACTGGTCTAAACCCTTGTGGCTGATTCCTGTCCATCGACGCTCACAGCAGCACTGGGTCTTAGCTGTAGTGTCAGTAGAAGAGAAGTTGGTCTTCTTCTATGACAGTTTTGCAGAGGTGGAAGGTTGGGAGGCTGACTTCAAGGTATGTTATCACTTACTTACTTGCAAGTGCTTAAGCCTACAGGACATTGCAACTCTCCTCTCACACATGTTTGCTCTTGCTGCTGCTCATGGTCACAAAATCAATACAAAAGCGGCCACTGTCCCATGGTCTGCACACCCATTATTCCACCAAGTGAGACATTGGTTTAACAGCTTTATTGCTCCAAGTTTAATGACTTTCAGAATGTGCCTCAGCAAAGCAATAGCCATGATTGTGGTGTCTGGGTTTTATGCATGCTCACAGCTATTCTTCGTGGTTATTCCACTGTGAATATTGCTGAGGCGGACATACCATATATCAGGAAGCTCTTCACTCGGCTGATCTATACATTTCCCCGGTATGTGCGGAAGAAAAGAGGGGATCAGAGGTAGTCCGTGGCGAACGGTGGTGGCTCAAAGGCGAACAGAGGCAGTTCAGAGGCAGTGGTACAGGCGAATGAAGGTAGTCTAAAGGCGAACAGTGGTGGGTTGGAGGCGAGCGGTGGTGGCTCAAAGGCGAACAGAGGCAGTTCAGAGGCAGTGGTACAGGCGAATGAAGGTAGTCTAACGGCGATCGGAGGTGGGTTGGAGGCGAATGTTGTTCAGGTTATGATTGGACTCAACTCTTGAAACATTGGTAGTAAAGACGGTAGATAGTACGAGCCTCCCAATGAAGAAAGTCTTGCAACATAACAGCCTCGTAAGGATTCTCCACCATATCATAATGGATACTAAGTGCTCGATTCCAAACCTCCAGTCGCTTCTGTATCTCAGAGCGCAGCCCATCCATCAGTCCACGCTTCCCATAATTTGAGAGACCAAGATAGACGCGGTCTTGGACAATCTCTAGTCGGCTACGAACACCGTGTAGGAGTTCTGACAGTGCGGCAGTGTCCAAGCTATCGTATTCACAGGGCTGAGTGCTGCCAGAGAATGGTGGTTCATTGAGCCATCGGGAAATGGGGAGTTTTTCGATTGTGAATGCCAATTGAAATCCGAGACGAAATAGAGGCCGAGCTTCGGGTAGTGCACGGCGCGCATAGAGCTCGATTTTGTAGCTGGGTGCTCGTAGGCCACGTACGGCAGCCTTCGCTACACGTCGACGACTAGTTCGGGAGGCATTGTGCTGAGCGCGCATGATTTGCCCTCTGTGATTTGGAGTCAGCTAGTATTTAGACTGAATATTGCTGTAAAACGCACCGAGGACTCGTGTTGTATCTTCTGTTATACCCCTTGCATGCTGAGGCTTGTTCTTCCGTCGTATGGTATTTTTTTGTGGCGACCCATGACAGAGGTCAGAACTGAAATCGACTTGGATATGGTCACACTAAGGGTTTTGGATTATAAGAACATCTTCGCTAGCATAATGGCACTCACTACGAAAGACAAGTGCTGTGTATAAGCGTGTTCGGGCGGCTTCCCTGAGCTCCCTGATGAAATTTCCATTGGAAAACATGTAGAACTGACCTTGAACGCGTATCATCTTTGTGATGCGAAATTTACAGCGAGGGCGGGCGGAGGCGGTGTGACGGATGTGACGTGGCCTCTTTTCGACCACACGTTCCAACGACGCCTTCGAATGCCGCTTCTGGCTCCTGGCTGCGGAAGCGTAAAAGCTTAACTCTCTAAGCCCGCCGCTCAATGGACTCAATGGCGGCTGCCTAGCTGCACGTGCAGCATCCTTTTTTCCTTCGACGACCACCACGACGACCTTCCTCTGACTGTGAGCAATTTGCTCTTCACATTTCTCACTTATTCATCTCAACAGCGGGTTGTGGGACCTCCCACACCCAGACAGACTGGTTTTGGACAACCCATCTTGTTCTTGCGTCGCTCAACGACGACAAAAAGACTGTTTGGGCTTGCTGTTGCCCGCAGTCCCAGCTCATCTCAACTGGCCTTCTTGCAACTACAACCACCAGCTCTGACAACGAACACCGGCCCTACAACTTTTTTCGGCGACTTTGCTTTTTTCGGCGACCATTTACTACTGTCTTGCTGTGTGAGCAAGCTATTATCCTTACTGTTCTAACCAACACTGACCCTTCCCTCTAGCTCTCCTACGAAACTGGCCTCCTTGCAACCAACTACTAGCTCTGACTGCCTCAACTCTTCACAACTTTTTGTCGACATCACTCAGTTTGTGAGTCTTCCCTTCATACTGACGCATACTCTCAACATTTCACCCAGATATCAAAAATGGACAACCAGCGTCCGATAGACGACCAACGTGCAATGTCTGGAGGTGGCGACGACGAATCTGAATATAGCACGAGTCCGTTATCCGAAGAAGGTCCACGATTGCGTCCCGACCCAGCCCTGGAGGGCGACTTTACCTTCGGAAGCGAGGACTACACCCAATTATCCGACAGCTTCTTTGCCTCTGATTCCCTCCGCAAACCTCCGAGTTACCCATCGCTATCTTTCAGATCGGATCTCAACTTCCAAATGCCAGACCCAGCTAGTGTCGACAACTACCAGCACGGCGATAGCTACGACTTCGCCACCAACAACTATGTCACCAACAACGAAAACAAGTATTACAACGAACACAACGATGCGGATATCAGCCTGCCAGCCATCACCACCATTGAAGACTCTGTCCGTCGACCACCAAAACTGCCACTGCCACTGGCTGGTTTTCCTTTCACGCCCATGGATGTCGGAGGTGGTGGTAGTCGCCAGTGGGAGGGGGGCGAAGGCGAAAGTAGCGGTGACAGCCTTCAAGAAGGCGGTGGTCGAGGTGACCCGCCTCCTGTTCCAGAGGCGGATCAACGTCATACCCGCCTGCGAACGACCATCCCACTCTCCGCGCGCGGTGCCTCCAGTCGCGATATCATCGCTGCGACAACCGCTCGACGTTCCCGAGTTCAAGAAGACGACGCCACAGACTCGGATTGCGTCAACCCTGCCCTCATCTCGCCGCCAAGGCCCAGAAGGCGAGAAAAGGCGGCCCTTCACACCGCACTACCGGTCTCCGCGGAGCGTGCGACAGCTTTAGACAGCATGCCTCCGACGCCAGCGAGAATGGGCTCCGTCCCCCTTGACCCGGCGAAGGCGAAGAGTGGGCCATCCCGCTCCGGATCTGCGCCTCCTATTTCCCCGCAAAATTTTCGAGGGACTTTCGCGGAGTTCCGTGAACAAGGTGGATTTGACTCCATTGCCCTACCACCGCCTCCTGTCGCCTGGACGCAGGCCCATACCAAGCAACTCTCTCCTTTGCCGGAGATCTCGGAGGTGCCAAAGCGAAGAGGCCCTTTCACCAAGGAGCAACACAGCATCATTGACGGCGCTGTACAGGACGTCATCGATGTGCTGGAGAACGCTGCTGAAAAAGCTGGCCTCAGCGCAGACCGTATGCAAGAGTTGGTCTTTGGCAGAATGACCGATACTCCCTCGCGCTCAACAAACAAATGGAATCTCTACCAATCTTTCTTCGCTGATGGCGAACACCTCATGGACGAGATGAAGCGCATCCAACCCGACTTCTCACTTGATTCGTTGCCTGTTGACTCCGACAACGATCGAATCATCAGTCGTGATGTAGTGAAGCGCGCCTACCGAGCCTTCCTCGCCTACCATGGGGACGAGATGGCGTTGAAAATTCTGCAGAAGCATGACGCCCTGAACTCGCTTGGGCAGGAAACTCATCAGGGACGAAGGGCGGCATTTAATCGTATCTTGATCGATTGGCAGCGGAGGGTTAGTACTTACCATTGCTTTTGCTCTCATCACTTATGCTTACTAGGTGGACAATCTTGAACGCGCAAACTATGAAGCATTGGTCGTTGTCCTAGGGCCCCGCGTCCATGAAGACAAGGACTTGTCTTTTCTTTGTACCACCAACGGAATTGGCTCGGTTAGTATCTGTCCCGCTTCTTTAAATCACTTGCTGACATACAAATTTAGTTCACAGATGTCCTTGACTGCGATAGAGATGACTTCGTGGGCTTGATGCAGGCCATTGCATAGTGCGTAACTTCTATTCTATTCGGAATCTTTGTGTTAAATGACCTTTCATTAGCAAAAGTGCAGTACAACCTATTTCAGAGGCATTCCGTGCTGCGTTGGGAGCACAGGCATCGTCGGGCCAAGGTCAATCTGGTGCTCGCAAAGCAAAAGATGCCTTCGCCCGACAACCGCCTCCGGCCACCACCGGCCTACAACCGCCGCCCGCCACCGCTGTCCCGCAACCGCCGCCACCGCCGCCCGCAACCGCCTCCGGCCGCCCCAGAAGTGCCTACGACCACCCTACAGGTGCCGCCAGAGAGGATTCCAAGGTGGTTAAGGGCAAGGGCAAGAGAAAGAAGGTGACGGAGACCGAAATAGCAATCCGGGAAGTCAAGCAAAGGTTTTCCAAGTGCAGCATTGAAGACGCCGGAATCGACATATTCACGCGCCTTGGCAACAACCACTTCTCTTGGACCACGCTCGGAACCTCTTCCCAGCTGGGTACCGCCTCGTCAACTATCCCACTGGCGCTCAGTTGCCGGTCGAATGTGACTCGAGTAAGGCAATCGGTTCATTGCGAAAAATCGACTGCGAAGCTTTCAATGCCGGCATGGATGAGCGCAGGCCCGGCCTCCCCTTCACCGGATTCCACGTCGAGAAAATGCCAGGACCATTGAAACCTGGTCAGTTATTTCTTTTATATTAAGTTCTCATTCTAATAATCCTTTTAGACTCCGTGGTAATAGTTCGACACGACTTCTCCCACCCCCCGCCTCCGAACGCCACCGAGGAGCAGCTCAAGGTCCACTACCTAACATCGCGCAACATCCCTCTGGAGCATGTCAATGGGAAGGGAGAGGTTTGGCGAATGCCTTACGACCTCATCGCCAACCCCGTGCTCGAAACTCCGTCTTCGGCCAACCCCGTGCCGGGTGCTGAGAAGGTCAATTTGGAGGAGAAGAAGAAGGATGGTGGTAAGAAGGGGAAGGGAAAGGCGACAAAGCGTCGGGCTCCGGCCCAACCTAACAAGGCTCGCAAGCGACGGCGGATGTCAACGCCGGAGGAGGACGCCGAGTCCTCGGCAGACAATAGCGAAGACGAAGACAGCGAGGAGGAAGAGGAGGAGACCGTTCGCTCGGCCGCCCAAGTTGGGGGAGCTCCGCAGCGTCGGACTCGCTCTACCACTGCGGCGCCAGCTGCGGGCGCCAGCTGTGGCGCCAGCTGCTCCGAGACGACTCAAGCCGGTAGCCACCAGGCCGGCAGCTTCTAAACCGGTCGCCGCCAAACCAGTCGTTGCCAAGAAGAATAAGGAGTCGGACAGCGACTCTGGGGACGATCAGGGAACTCCCTCACCGCCAATGAGGTCCAGACCCAAGCCCAAGCCACTCTTCATGGCTAAGTCGCCGAATACGGATGCCGCGCCAGCCAAGAAGCGCACGCGAGATCCTGACCCAGAAACACCCGACTCGGCCAAACGGCCTCGCTTGTTCTTGGACGCAGTGGAAATCCCATCGGCTCCAAGTCGACCTACGGCTGCCTCCCAACGGCCCAATCCACAGCCTACGGTTGCCGCTCCAGCCCCAGTCGCGGGGTCAAATAGAGGACCGGGAACGATTGCGGGGTCGAGCAAAGGACCGGGAACGATTGCGGGGTCGAGCAAAGGGCCGGGAACAATTTCGGGGTCGAGCAAAGGGCCGGGAACAATTGCGGGGTCGAGCAGAGGGCCGGGAACAATTGCGGGGTCGAGCAGAGGGCCGGGAACGATTGCGGGGTCGAGCAGAGCGGGAACGCTTGCGGGAACTTCGACTGCATTAAACGCTGGCCCCCCGCCACATGCGCCGAAGGTAGACCCAGTGTCGTCAAAAGTAGGCCCCCCGACAAAGGCAACGTCGGCGAAAGTAGGCCCCCCGACACAGGCAACGTCGGCGAAAGTAGGCCCCCCAAAGAAAGCAAGCACGACTGCAAGTGCTTCTGCAGGTGGTGTCGTTGACCCAGTGCCTCCTCAATCGACAACTTCTACTGCTTTTGGTACCCGGATGCTCCCCATGGACTCGCTCACCCAGCTTGCTGCGCGGTTCACACAGCTATCGACTGAACGGCAACAGTACTTCTTGGGGATGATGCACCCGCAACAGCATCCCGCACTCTTCAACCTGCTCAACGAAACTGGCCAGCAGAGTTTCCTGGCATTATTGGACTTCGACCAGCAGCTAGACTTTTTTGTTCGGCTCGAAAGCTCCAAATGAGGATGTGCTGAGGAGACGCGCTGGAGAAGGATGGTGAGAAGTGTTGCACAGGAGTTCTTGCTGTTTTTTTTGCTTTTTTTGCTTTTTTTTGTGTCATCTGTGCCCACCTTCGTTGCCCTCCACTGCCGCTGTAGCCTATCGCACGAACCTCACGAACATTCTGTACATTTATGACGACTTGCTGTATTAGACACACTAAGAATGACTGTTTCATGTGTCTTGAATCGTTATGGGATGAAGGGCAAATAGATATAAAATGCAGCTGGAGGTTGCGCCTCCCTCGCCTCTGAGGACCTCTTAGGTGATTCATTCACATACAGAATAATGTACCTAAATGGTCTGTACGTAAGCTAATGAGAAGGTCACCTAGGTGACGACCACAGTGTCGACGACCACGATCAAAACCTCATCGCAAGGCGCGGGGACCACCACGGCTGCTGCAACTCCAACTGGAACGTATACCAATCCTGTTATATACGAAGATTTGGTTGGCTCTCATTTCCTACTACTTGCTCATCGGCGTCTCAGACTACTTATAGGCGGACAACGACGTTTTCCGAGTCAATGATACCTATTACTACAGCGCATCCACGATGCACTACTCGCCCGGTGCACCTATCCTCCAATCGAAGGACCTGGTCAATTGGGAATATATTGGCCATTCCGTCCCTACCCTCAGCTTCAACTCCAAATACAATCTGCAGAACGGGCAGCAAGCCTACGTTAAAGGCATTTGGGCTTCTACGATGCGTCAGCGACCTTCGAATGGGTTATGGTACTGGTATGGCTGCATCGAATTCGGCACATCCTATGTCTGGACTGCTTCCTCTCCTTCTGGCCCTTGGACTCAACGCGCTTCGTTCGGCACCTGCTTCTACGACTGCGGGCTCCTCATCGACGACAATGACATGATGTATATTGCTTATGGTGGAGGCAATGTCAACGTAGCCCAGCTCTCCGCAGACGGATTCAGTATTGTCAAGACACAACAGGTTCTTACTACTTCGACCGCAAACGGTGGAACAATGGAGGGCAATAGGCTTTACAAGCGAAACGGTCTGTATTATATCATCGACGATTTGCCTGCTACGGAAGAGTGGGTATGGAAGGCGTCCAGTATCTGGGGACCGTACACTCCCAAGAACTTGGTGAAATCCATTTCGTGCAACTTCCCCAACGAAGGCTCCTGCAACCCTCACCAAGGCAGTCTTGTCGACACGCCCAGCGGCCAGTGGTATCATATGAGTAAGTTGTGTGACAGACCTTCGCCCCTTCTCAACCATTGACTGGCACTTTTACCCCCCAGGTTTCACTGACGCGTATCCCGGTGGTCGTTATCCGATTTTGGCGCCAGTTACTTGGGGATCAGTATGGCGGTCCGTTCTGGACAAAACCCAGAATGAGTGGTGATAAGCTGAAATTATAATGATAGTTGATGATACGACTAATGCGTGGGCTTTTCGATACGATGAGTCGATGACCAGACCTGGTGATTGCAATGCAGATTGTGAAGGCAATGATGCTTGGAGATGGTCAATAAATTTCACTGGCATAATGTTGATCGCCGGTAGATAGTAGTGCTGGTCATTATGTCTCCCCAGAATCAATGATAATCCGTGCCGCGTATCAATCCAATCCAATCCAATCCAGAAATAACAATGACAGGGGAAGTCAACGCTCTGGGCCTCCAGCGTACATAACGTAACATGTCGCATTGCTTCCCCCCCCAAAACAATCATTACAATCCGAAAGCAGGTCATGCTTGGAGCCTGTAGATTCTGTCCCTCGAAAGTCTGAGGTGAACGTAGCAAAACACCCAGATCCGTCAGACTCGGAACAAATTGCGTTGAGATTGTGACGTGACGCGTCTGTCTCTTCCTTCTCGACCACCACCTTCTTTATACGCCCTAATTATGAGCCAGGCAGGCCCTAAGAACGATCCTCGTCCCCTTCCGCCTCTCTCCACCCCCCAACCAAGCCATCTCGATCACGTGCTCGGAGAAGGAGTGAGTATGCATCGCTTCCTGCGGGAGATGAGCTGCCGATGAGTGGCTTGGTGGCCGGCTTTCTTCAGGTGGTGGGGCGGGGGCTCGGACAAAGGAGCTGTATGATGCGTTTGGGGAGGTTTCTGATGACGACGAGGATGATGCCAACGAGGAGACAAGGCTAAATGCACGGTCTGGATATCAAGATATCCCTCGAGGGAATAGCTCGAGACTGGATCTGCACAACAGTCAGTATCGTGACGAGCCCGAGTCACAGCGAGGCAGTGGCGCAGCGAGCCCAGAGGCTGGAGCTAGCGATGGTAGTTGGGAGTATTGTTTTCCTGGAGGAGGATCTATTTCAGTATTTATACTTCATTGGCACAGACTACATTGTAATGGCACGATAGTAGAGCGAACAGGGCTACAAATGCGAAACAACAAACAACGGAGTGAGATCAGCTTAGATTTACAACTAAGAGTGAAGTCGGAGTTCCGCTTCAGGACTGTCCTCGGCGACTCCTCGCGGCGGCTAGACTCGGATTGCAGCAATGCCTGCTCGAAACTGCGGCTAACTGCAGCAGCAAGAGGCACAGGAACAGCGTTGCCAATATGTTCGTAGTACTAGGGAAAAGAACCAGATAACCAGCAGCACAAGTCAAGTTTCGTGGCACCCACCTGACGGATGACACCCCCAGCATTGCTCGCGTCAGACCACAGCTTCAAGGAATCCGGAAAGCCTTGAGCGCGCTTCGCCTCCAAGACCGTGATCGTCCGTTTTTGCTGCAGACCAGGTCAATACCATTAAACAAACCATGCTCCGACAAACCGTTGGATGAAGAAGCTGGCTCCCGTGACTACTCGGCGATACTTGGGTCATCGCAGTCTTGAACGGCCCATTCTCGTCCAATCGCCCAAACTTCCGCGTCTCGTTCGGATTCAACCGTTTGTGAAAAGCCCGTGGAAGATCTAGCAAATAGAATTCAGAAATGCGAGCAATCTTTCTCTTTATTTACCAGGATGCCCTGCTTTGGGCTTCAACGGTACCGTTACCGTCGCCTCCACAACGAATGACGAGACCGGGTGTCACGTGGTCCTCTACTAAGGATGAGTTGCTGCGCCGCATTTCGCGCTGATAGCGGGTTTGGGGCTCTGTAAGATACGGCACAGGCTCGGTATATCCAACGGGCGTGGTGGACGCATCACACTGCTTGATGCCAGACGCGAGTCTTGTTTGGACTGTCTTCTTATCTGCCAGAGTCTGAGGAATGACTTCATGAGGGTTGATCCTGTTGGCGTCAGTAAGTGGGCGAAACCCCGGGGGAGCTTACCAATCGAATTTGGGGAGGTCACTTGTCGCGTCTTTGATCGTGAACCCCGGATGTGGTGCAAAATTGTTGCCGTCCTCGTCATCAGAGTCGGTATTCGCCATCCGTCCGCGTTTTGCGCCGCCAATGAAGTCGCCCTCGATGAAGAGCTTGCGCCGCTGTGCAGGCTTGAACACGTGCATCGGCAGTGGGGGGTTTCGGCAACACGGAGCCGCGCCGGGCAGCAAAGAGGAAGAAGCGCGGTCGATTTTGCACACATCCATGCTGCCCCGCCTGGGCCAAAATCGGCGAAACTTGGTAGTTCAGCGCGAGTAAGACGCGAGTGGGCAGCTTCAGCATCGCCATCTTGATGGGCGAGCCATGCACAGTGTACTTCTCCGAGTGGTCAAGAAGACCGGTCACGTTCTCGCGTAAAAAGAACTCAGGTCGGAAGACCTCCGCTATGCTGAGCATCGTGAACGGCAGTGAGGACCGGGGGTCATTCTCCTTCTTGTGAATATTCATCCGGGAGAACGATTGGCATGGTGGCCCACCACAGAGGACGCGAGCAGAGCCTGGGTATGGAATCTGCTGGTCTGGAATGATGGGGTTGCCTGGACCTCGGCTTCTTAGCGGAGGCTGCTCTTTGCCTTGTTGGCGTTGGATTACATATCGGACGAAATCGTTGATATCGGTGCAGAGGACACCCGTCTCGGGATGGTTAATGCTGATGTGTTGTTAGTGTTGCGCAAGACCAACAAAAAAGACTATTACCTGAATGTTTGGGCAGCGGGATACGACCACTCAACGGCGCACTCGGTACCAAGAAACCCTGTTTGGCAGAAGCCCTGCCACAAGCCACCAGCACCTAAGTTCGAGTTTAAATGAAATAAAAAGGTCGAACCATAACTGAACGCACCAGCGAACATCTCCATCACCGGGACTTTGCCATTTTTTTCTGACATAGCGTTTGCTCTCTTCTAACTGGGAAGCATGGGCATCGAAACAGTCTCCGCACTGGGAAATATGGTCCTCGTCGTCATCTAGTAAACAACATTGTCCTCACATTCAGGAAGGAAAAGAAGTTCATGCGAATGTGACACCTCATACAGTAAGGTTCGACTACCTGTTGAAAGAAGGATTAGCGCTGCAGACAGCCTGGGTGCAGGTTGCAAGCACTTGCCATGCGACAACCAGTGCCCGTGAAACTTTTTGACTAAGGCATCTTCGAAGAAGTATTGAATTTGCACAAACCTAATGAGGGATGATTGGAGAGTTGACTTGAAGGGCTGGTCAGATTAATTACCATGCAGTATTAGCTAGGATGTTGGGAGAAATGATTCCGTTTGACGATTCATACTCTGCTCGGAGCTATGATGGTCAGAATTGTGAGAGAGGGGGACGTTTTATAAAGGAACCTACTTTATTCGAGTCGTTTTCCGGTGAGACTGCAACAATGTCGCCCGCCTGGAGAACGAGTCAGTACTGTTTCGCTTTCGTTACAAAGGAAAAAAAACGTGCCTTGTAAAGAACAACATCCAACTCTACACTCTCATAAAATCCCGTTTGAGATGACTGTGGTCCCCATTTGATAAGGGTAGGATTCTGCTCGTGGATGTGGGCTTGCTTCTCCAACTCTTGGACAGCCTTTTTAGCCGCTGCGAAGTTGTCGATCACCGACAACGGAAACCTTGGTCGAAAGGTGTTGGTTTACGATGCGACCACAAATTTCTGTGACGAAGACTTTGCCATCTTGTTCCTTTTTATTGGAAACACGAGATTCATCGTAAAAGTGTCGGATGAGCGGAACTTTGGCAATCTTTCCATGCGACAGTTTAACGCGGTCGATAGCATGCATCAAGTACGCAATCTGGAATGCGGTGAGTTGTGAGGAGAGGAAAGCAAGTCTGGGCGACATTCCAGTTCATCTCTTTTGAGTATTGATTCGAGTTGCGGGTAGTCGAGCTCCACGATGGCCCCATCTACCCAAGTCTCGTAGGTGGCCGATGGGTTGTCGATCGCAGCTGAAAGAACGGAGTTGGCAATTCGGCTTTTCAGATGAAAGCCGTCCCAAAATGCTTTGTACTCCGTCGCAGGGATATCAAGAATGTACCACGCTTCCTTCGTTTCGATGTACACTTGTCTTTTGAACTGTGAGAACCATCTTCGAACCACAACCTACTCGTCCAAAGCCTCCTCATAATGGTGTGCGTTGAATCCAATTATGTCGACTTTGATGAAGCATGTTTCGGTTTCGGCGTCAGATTCATTGTCCCCAAGTTGGTTGGCAACTTCCGTGGCCAGCCCGGCGGCACCGAAGAGACCGATAATGTCGTCTCTGTCAATTTCCAGAGGGTTGACCAGCTCTCGGCCATCAACCTTGAATATAGCGAAAGCAGAGAGTCTACGAATCGGAGTGCCGTCGTCTTCGCCGCCCGTTTCTTTGAATCGGGCAGGTAGTTCAGATTCGTCGACGGGGATGCGGCCATAGTAGTTGAAATAAACGGGGTCCTCAGGATCTAGGAGGCCCTGAGTGTCAGCTCAATAGAAAAAAAAAATTAAAGAAAAATACCGGCAAAAATGTCCCGGTCATCTTCGTCAAAACTATTCAACGCAACGTTTTTGGGGGGCTCAGAGCGGGGAGGGGACGGGCAGGAGTTGATAGATACATGGGAAATTCGAGAAACAGTATCGCGGACAAGCCTATCGTTACGGGGTCGTTTACGAGGCGAAAGATTGGGACTGGGAGATCGGGAGGACGAGTCTGTAGGAGAAGGAGAACGAATTCGCTTTTGCGGGGAGCGCGGCGGAAGTAAAACGTAGGGAGCAAGTACCATGAGCCGCGCTGGGCGATCAGCGGAATGACTGTACGGTCAGAACAAGGAGCAACACTTTGGTTGAACTCAATGCATTCGGTGTGACGCCTCGCGAAGTCACGGTCACGCCCACCTTTCCCTTCAACCATGTCGTTGCTCCCCTACCACAATCCGCACAACTATGAATCAGAAAAGCGTATGTTTCCTCGGAATCAAAGGTCATATATAGCAACGAATAGCCAACCGCGAACAAGAGAAGCTCGTCGTCCAACTGGAGGACATATGGCACTCCTCGGTATGATGTC